CAGTGCAGATGTACCTAGCCAAATTGTTCGATCTTCTTTAGCGCGCCTGCTGATTAACAGATGAAGGTTTCTGGGATTCATTTCTCATGGCAGACTGTCTGTCGAGAAAGGAACAATATAACTTTTCAATTCTCGGTTATGAAAAACAACACTCATTATTAACCTACTAACCTGCCTTTAAAACAAGCATCATGCCCCTTGAGTGAAACAAAAACGCTGATTTTATGAAAAAAGTAATGTGAAGAAGCTTCAATAAGAACATTTTTACTTTACAACCTTACTTCTTCACTGGACATGAAATACTTCTATAACAAAGCTCGTGCAATAATTGAAATTAAAATATAACTTCACTAGTTACCCAATATAGACTTCCACTGAACTCGGTACCTAAGAGAAAACTTGGCAGACTGTTTTCTAACTTACCACTTTTCACACACTGCATTCATGTGCACTGCCCTCTACACTTCAGGTCCTAAGACCTGTAGCAAACTGTATGGTCTGAATTGCACAGCCTGTACCTGTCGTGATCAACGGCACAGCCTTGCCAGCTCCTGGAAAAGTCTCCATAAAGAAGCTACGAGCTGCTGCTGCTGCCTGGTAGACGTTTCACTCCACGTGAAACCTGGGGCAGGTCAGCATCACCCGCAATGAGCTTTTCTTGCTGGTGTGCCGTCGGGCTGTGTAGATCCTCATGAAACCCATCCAATCATAAGCCTGACCTGCTTTCAGGAAGGTGCCCTCTCTACTGCCTGTGCAGCAGGAGTCCAAAACAGTAGAGTGCTGTCCCTGCCAGTTTATCAGGGCTTGATCTACTGAACATATTGCTTAATTTGAGCGCTCTTCCAGTCCACAAGTCCTTTTATCTGTCTGTAGCTCCTATAGCCTGTTATTAACAATGTGTATATTTGTCCTGTATAATTGCCAATGCAGGCCCCAGCTGTAGGGCCCTGTTTCCCTCTGCTTCCCCAATTTAACCACCACATGAAAGGGTAAGTGAGCAGAGGGTAATCAGAGTGACAAAGAAATGAGTACTTTACACTCAATGAACCCTCTAGGCAGGAAACGAAGCAAAGTAAATTGTGCATTAGCTCAGAGCAGAGAAAAAAAAAAGCCAAGGTTGTTATTGTGTAGAGTTTGGAGACATTAGAAGTGCTTTTACCCATTACGTTACTGATTAGAAACGAAGAGATGGGACTTTACAGAGCTTTTATTTTCAGAGAAACACCCATGTGTTCTAGCTCATTTCATTTCAAAGACAGAGTTAACACCTTCGAATTCTCCTTCCAATGTCGTTTGCTATAGAATGTCCTTAGTTCTAATGGTACTGGCTATCATTTTCAGTATTTCAGAAATCTAGGAATCTGCTAATCCAGTATTGTTGCTTCTACCAGCATTATTTGATTCAAGACCAGTTTTTTTTTGCAGGAAAACAAGTTACCATGCCCTTAAGCAAAACCTTCAAAGGGGAAGGTTGGGGAAGCCAGGAATGTTAATGGCAACAGCAAGGAGTAGTGTTATGGGCTCTGGTCTCTATACAGGTTGCGGGTCCAAATCCCAGATGATGTACTCCCATATATTATCTGCATTTTCGCCTAAAAAAAAATCAAGATACCGTCATACATTATAATTTAGAAATGAAGGATAATTAAAATAATAACGAGCTCAATAAGATAACTAAACTTCTTGGATGCAGGATAATTGCAGACAATATACGTTCTCACTGTAGAACCTAAAAGCATAAAAATGACAAATAATACAAATCTGAGATGATAAAGGTTTGTTTTTGTAATTCAATCTGAGGAAATTACAACTGGAGCTGTACTGTTAACAATTACACCGGAGCTATAAGTGAAGTTGAGCCTTAGAACCTTTGAATAATTTCAACTAAGCAATATAATACACGCTTGTGACCAGAGATCAATCCGGCACCTGCCGTGCTTTAACTGTCAGAATTTCACAAATTGTTAGGCGCGCCACTGCATCATTGAGCACCTTTGCTGAATCACAGCTATGGTACCATTTTTTGTCTCGTATTAGAAGCAGCTTAAGCAAAATCACACACCTGGCAATCGGTGAACAAAAAAAACAATTCCACAATTATGTCCTGAACACGTGGAGGTAGAAAACATGAGCTCCTTTGCTAAGGACACAAACGGGTGATTTTAACATACAAGAAGGAAAATGTGCTGTTCAGAAGAGGGCCTCAGGGTCTTGTGTAGGCACCTGCCGTTTCCTCACTCCCAGGAAGGAGAGGTCCAAGGAGGTGAACTCATTAATGCGGTGCACATTAAAGTTCTAATTGTTCAGCTGTTTTTAGACCTGTGATAAGCACTTTGGTATCAGAAGCATATAAGTGTCAATATATTGACACAAGTTGTTTCACTTGGGAATTCCATCAGTAACTTCAGAATATCTTTAATTTTACATTTATGGAATTCATTGTAAGTATAAGTGTAATTAATAACTTTGCAGATGTCAATGTAACTGGAACTGACCCCAGAGCATCACTTATTTAATGTAGTACCATCAGCTCAAACTGTGTTGTTGTTTTTAGTCATCTTAAAAACTTGGTAATCCTTTTCGGTTTATGGTGATGTAAGATGCTGCGATTCTGATAATGAGCAAAACAAAATGGCATCAGGTTCTTTTCTGGAAGTTTCCTGAACTGTGCTGCCTCTCTTAGTCTTACAGAGCTTACCTTAAATGTTAGTTATAACTTTAAATAAATAAAGAAGACGCTTCTCAGTGCCACCTTTAAAGTAGACTAGAATTAACATCAGCTAGAAAAATACCTCCTTATGGCACTCTCGTTAAAATACCAATCTGCAATAATTTGACTGCAATTACACAAAGGAAAATGTTGTCCTCGTGTTGGTTGCTATGGGCACAACCAAGCATTAGAATGAGATAAGGTTAGCCAAGGGGAAAAAAAAATCTCAGCCCGCAGATTCAACAGGTGACTGCACAGACTGGAAGAGGAGAAATGCCAGGGTACACACAGATGCCGAGAAGACAACAAACCACTGGGTACGACTTTTTTCTTTCTGCCTGATTACATAAAGTGTTGGCCATTCTGAAAAGGTTCAATTAAATAAGAAAAACAGACCCTTGTTTTCGGAGTTGGCACAGTACGGATTGCTTTTGTGTGCCTAAAATTTGCTCGGCTGGAGTGACAGTCTCTCAAAAGTATCCTGCAACCCAAAAGACCAGAAAAACGGTTTAAAGTTCTAAAAAGTAGAAGATGCATAAGAATTTTTTTACATGAATTTACACTACTTGAGTAAATATTTCTGCTTTAATGTTTTGTGATAAAGACAATTAACCAATATAAGGAGGTTTACAGCCAAAGAACAATTTTTGCACAACATACACTAAAAGCCTCAGGCTTCAAAGTAAATGCCCTTTTGGTGTAATAATACAACATAAGAGAGAAGAAAGTGCTATGTTCATCAAAACCACAATGTGTGCCTTCCTGTGTGAGTATTGTAACATGGGTGGATATGATAGAAGCTACATTGACTTTAATTTGACGTTCTCAGAGAAAAAAAATATATCACTTGATAAAATAAACATGTATGCCACCTACAAATTAATGTATTTTGTTAGGAGATTAATTAGCTGGAGGGGCACGGGTGCACAGGCTCTTGCAGGACCCTAAAGGGGTTCTGGGGTGCTGTTTGTGAGGAGTTTGTATGTTCTCCCTGTGTTCATGTGGGTTCCCTCCAGATTCTCCAGTTTCCTCCCACAGTCCAAAGACATGCTGGTAGGTCACCAGGCATCTGGGAGCACTGGCTGTGGTGTGCATGTGTGTGTGTGTGCTCTTTAATGGATGGACTGGGACTAGAGTCCCGCTCAGGGTGTAACCTCCACCCTTTGCATGCTTCCCCATGACCCTGTACTGGATAAAGTTGTTAGAAAGCTGAAGGGTGGATGGATTAATTTAACTGGTCAGTGACACACATGCAGGGGGATGATTAAATTGCAGAAATGTACGCAGGAAAGCCTGATAGGGTGCAGAATAAAAGCCAACGTGATGATAAAATGTAGGACTAAAATAAATTGGTAATCATAGAAACATAATGTACTCGCAATGACATTTTAACTTAAGAAATTTCATATGAGAGTCTAATGTAGAATAATTATCTCACTACAAGCCCAAAGTTAAAGGTTACAGGTAAGATTTTACAAAAACTGACCTTCCATCCATTATCCTACAGAGTGTGACGGAGAGATCAAGCTCACCTGTGCTAGAAACACTGAATAACCTATCCAACTTGTATCTGGAAGTCTGGGGGATAACCGACCACGCGGAGAAATCGCTGGCACACAGGCAGAACATGCAAACTCCATACTGAAGGCCCCCTGTCTGGAACCAGGACCCTAGAACTGTGAGGCTGCAGTGCCCCCCACCTAGATAATGTCCCACCCTAAACGCATTTATTTTTCAAACGATTACATATGAAGCAATAATCATCATGGAATTTATAAGGTAATAACAAAACAGAGCTGAAGTGAAAGAAATGATTTTAACACCATTAAAGTTAATATGAAAAGTCATAATGTGCTAACAGGCTATTTATACGACTTCCGCTTTTGCTCATGAATTAGTCATGAACAGTCACTCACCACGAAGTGTTCCTAAGTTACTTACGGTTTAAAGGCCCAGATAAAATATTTTTAAATATTTTAACAGAATGATTCATTTTTGGTATTTTACCCCAATACCAATTCAATAAGGTCATAATATTTTTTTAATACCACCACAAATATTTCACAGAGCGACTCCAGTTAAAGGGTAATTGCACGTTTCCCAGGTGTTGTCAATATGGAAGAGAATTCTCCAGGTCCTGTAACTACCGGTGCCCTCTTGACGAGCTGCCAGTGAAGGAGGCAGCTGTGTCGGGCACCTGGGCCAACCGGGGCGTTCGGTCAGCAGCCTCCTCGTTGGCCCTGAAGAAGAGAATACCCACGAGGCTCCACAGCGGGGCAGGCTGACTCACCATTGTCTTTGATGCTGTTCTCCTCGATGGTCATCTGCTCCGCCAGCTCCGACAGGGACTCGTCGATGGTCTGGCTCCCGCGCAACGTGAGAGACAGGCGCCGCTTGAACTTCTTCATCTTTTCCATCGGGTGGTGCTCGTGGGAGAGGGCCTGCAACGAGAACCGGGGAGAGCGTGAGGGCCAGAGGGAGGGCCAGAGGGGCCAAGGCCCCGACACACCCCGACTACCCCTCCTCCACAGCCGGCAGAGGTAACGGGACAGAGGGCAGTGCTTTCATTATCTACATAAGCACGGTTGAGGTTCGATTTCTGGCCAAAGCAAAGCTTCATACGGTGGGATTAATGATTGAACAGGCTACTACCAATATTTATAGAACATATACACAGTGTGCGGGCGCATGTAAACATGGTTTACATCCAAACCTTTACAGGTGTATATCAGCATCTGCCCAGAAATGCATTTCATATTTTACAGCTGCATTTCCTTCTTTATAAGCGACTTTAAAGTTTTTGCTAAAGTCAGGAACTGTTCAAATGTATTAAAAGAGTCAACTAAAGAGCACCGCAAAAATGCAGAGGTTCATAATCATGAATCTGCGTGCATTTGTTGGAGCATAGTTCTTTTTTGATGGACCCATTCGAGACAAAAAAAAAAAGAATCGGGCAAGGAAGAACTTACTCTCTATAGAGATATACACATGCATGGTAAAGTTCACTCCCAGTCAGGAAGCATCAGTGCACGCCCTTCTCTCACACTGCAGCAATTGTCCCATTTAGATGTTTGCAGCTGCCATTTTTATTTCATTTTTTAATCACTTGCCTGCCGGGTCTCCCTTTCATCCCCAGTATCTCCACCCCCATGCTGCCGAGAGATTCTCGCGGATTCTAATTGACGTAGCTCCGTTTTCTTGTGGGTACAGTGAGAGACAGAATGAGGACACCACCATCCCGCTGATGAGCTTTAACTGGCAGGACCACCTTGGTCAGGAGCCCCAGACAAACGGAACGGATTGGGCTGAGGGTCGCTTCCTTCAAACGCGGTCCTGAGTGGGCCCTGCTGCACAGCCGACGGGTGTGCCATTTCACCGAAACTGAACTGCAAAAGCCACACAAGGCAGGGACTTATGTCCTACTCAAATGCTTGCAAGTAGGTGAAATGAAGAAGGGAGAGGCTGTCCATCACTAAGAGAGAAATGATTGTACAATGTCTCACTGCGTGAGCTGCAGAGGGACAAGGGGGGGATAATTCTGCACTGAAAAGGACTGTATAAACAAAAGTGAAAGCACAACACTAACACCTTATCATAATACACCTGGAAATCATTACCCGGGTCTTCATCTCTTTGGATAGCCTCTCTCAAACTTTTTTCTTATCCACCCCTTTGTCTTATATTCCTCTTTTTCCCCACACTCCTTAAGAAGTCTCCTATCCCTAAAACATTGCACTTGCTCTTCTTTAAACCTTTCAGTGTGTAAGGAACCTCTGCTGCTTTCCTCAGAGTATCGTGTAAGGTCTTTACCACTCGTACAGTTTGTGAAGGTTTCTTTTCACGCGAAGGACATTACTTTTGTCACGTTGGGCTATTTCAGGAAAGAAGCTCGTGGATAATAAGACGTGTTCCTGCTGATTCCCATAACTGTCCAGGAAAGCAGGCTGGGATTAAACAATCCTCTTTCACGACACCCCTGGCAGCCCCATTGTTCATAACAAACCATCTTTATTTTACTGTACGAGACACCGCGTTTTTAAAACACGTTTGCCACCTAAACATTGACTTTAACGAGTGAGAGCTGCAAGACCATGCGAAGGCAAAAATCGCGACAGCGAAACAGGATTAATGACCCTCAGTTCCAGGAACGGGCTGCGTGTGTAGCCACTCTCCAGTTACAATCAGCAAAGCCTGAAGATTTGGGCAGAGATACCCAAGTGCCCCCACTACAATGGTTCACACTTTAAAAAAACGTTTACACCAGGCAGCAACAGGAAACACCTTGAGAGAGCGCTGTCCTGGACAAACCCCCAAAGCAGCGCGCAATTTCCCAGCTCATTGTGTGCGGCCGCCGCCTGACTCGCCGCGACAGGAACGGAACAGCCCAGCGCTGGGCTCTCCTGCGTCACAAGGCAGGACAAACCTCCGCTGGGGCCGGCAGATAACATTCAACACCCCGCTCACATGGCACGACGGCACACCGACACCCCCACAACCCCCACCCCTACAACGCAGCCAGGCACTGCCATGACAAGGAGACAAAGCTCCAGTGTGAAGTGCACCGCACGCAAATCGCATTACGTTAAAATAAACAGACGAAAAGAAAACCTTCCAGTGTAAGAGTTGCACCGCTTCAGCAGCACAAGAAAAGGGGGGTGTATTTCTAAAGAAAAAAACCCAAACAAACAGTTGTTTGCTTTTTCCAGCTGTCCGGCTGATCTCGCCAGGAGCGACCTTTTTGAATACAATTACCGGTGTGAGGGTTTAATTGCACAAAGGAGGAAGAGGGCAAAACTTCTGAGAGTATTGAACTGGCTCGCCTGCGGAAGCTTCAGGAATGCAAGCGATTCCTGAGCTCCTGAGGCAAGCAGCGTGACAGAAACACGTCCCAGTGTCATACACAAACTTCCTCCCTGACAATCACCCAAACTACGACAGCAGCTAACAGTTCAGGCTTCCCATCAGGGGTCTGTATTCCGGTCAGCAATAGATTTTGGTTTTCAAGCGCACATACACATCAGTAAAGGTGAACTGACGTTTACACGCGCCAGACCTCAATTTTACTTTTAAAGAGCTGAACCCTATTCTTTGATGTCTGATCATGGCCTTAATAAGAGCGCCAACCTGGGTGGTAGCCACTCATTTCCATTTCACTTTCTGAACTGTGTTGGTGCTGGCTGTCTGGAGGTTTTAATTAGCTCCATGGCAACCAAGGGCACCATCTGCTGAAGATGCAGGCCGATGCCTGTGAGCTGCTGGAGAAGCAGGTCTGAGGAACAACCTCAGGGGAGGAACGCCCGGAAAGATCTGAAGCCAGCCCCGCCTACCGCAACCATAATCACTGCAGCGGCCATAATGATCTTTTTCATCCAGCCTTCCTAACTTGTAAAACTAGCTGCATCATCCCATCCAGAAGGTAAACCAGCAATTGGCTCTAGGGAGTTAACTGGGGCAGATAAGCGCATAGGAATAGACAGAACTGCTGAAAATGTCGGGTCCAGCAATGGCATTTGGTTGTTTTTAGGATGTTATAGGTTTTTAATGAGAATTATGTGGAAAAAAATGGAAACAACAGTGTACTTGGTCATAAACCCTGATAAGGATGAATTACGTTTAGGTTATAGTCTTTGATCTTAGCCGTGTCTCCCAGTAGTCTTTAAAATAGAATTTAGAAAATGGTCTGCAAACTTCTGCCCTCATAAAAAGACAACTTAAAATTAAAAATGTTTGATAAATTCTTTTGACATTTTCCACGTGACATCAAGCATCATAATTAAATTGCCCTTTTCAAATGATGGGAAAATATTTGTCAATTTGCACAGCATACAGCTACGAAAAACATTCGGCTTTCTAAACACTTCAAAATCTATTTTTTAGCAACCTCCTCTAAGCACCCTCTTCAACAGTAGGTCTTGGCCTCATTTCTGTCACTTTTGTGTTATGGGTTGATCAAATATTCATTCCCCTATTCCCAGCAGGACCTAGAAAAGATGTCTGGCAATGATCTAATGATATTAACTAGCTCACAGACTCGCAGAAAGCACAGCAAAAACAAAATTCCTCCCTGACAATCACCCAAACTACGACAGCAGCTAACAGTTCAGGTCGTGTCAATATGGCTTTTAGGATAGACCGCACCTTGACCCGAAAAAAAAAAGATTAAGATTTACATATAAATGTTTTTTAAAAATGCAAATACATTGTGCATATTAATGAATCTTTTAATCTGCTATTCTAAATAGTAAACATCACTAACACCTCCCAAAACCTGGTAAACCTAATGAAATAATTTAACATTGTGTAGCAACTGTCACCTATAGATTTAAATGATGTTCCTAGCTGCTACATGAGCTGGATTGGATCATTAAAATCCTCAGTTACTCTGGTTGGCTATCGTATGAGTCAATGATGGGCTTTATTATAATGTGGAACAGTCAGCTTGTTATCACCACAGTCAAGTTCCTTGTAATGGTGTGGTCCAAACTCACCTGGGCACAGCCACAGAGGACCTGAGGAGTGAGGTACAGCACACAGAGGAACAAGCAGACAGATCTACAGAGGGCTTCAAGTAAAGCAGCCTTGAAGTTCTTTGTTGTTTAAACGTACTCATAGTACACTTATATAACTAAGCTTGAATGTCTACTCCCGATCCAAGTTTTGTTGTTTGGGTATGTAATTCTTGCAGGAGCTTCTTAATATTGCTGAAAGAAAGAGGCTGTGCACTTAAAGAGTAACAGTTTTACAGGACTAAGGAAATGGATAGAAGCTAACCATGATTTATACAGTATTTTCAAACTTTCCCTCCTTGGAATATTTTATTCTCTTTTTTGTACATTTTTGGAAATCAGTGTTTGTGTCTTCCCCACCACGAGGGAAGTGAGTCATCCACCTGCCTGAACTGGGGACAGATTATCTGCATTTATGTTTTGAGGGAGAAAACACATTTTCGAAACTGAAAAGTCATTCTTCTTCAAACGCCTCTTTTCATGGTAAATGTAATTGAATCCCTTCCATAAATACTTGAGCTTCATAGATGTCCAAGCACTCCAGCCCTTCCTGTTGCTCCTTATTTTTCTTATGGAGCAAACATAAGACATGCAAACTCAACACAGAAGGTGCCATCCCAAGAGCTGTGGGACAGAAGCACTAAGCACCTTGCCATTCAGATATCCTACAGCAAACATCAATTACTGTAGCATAATCAAAACACTTATTGCCCAAGATCCCAAAACCTTTTGAGTAACCACTAATGAGACTATCGTAAAAATACCAAACTTGTTCAAGTGTAGCCGGCTAAGTCCTCAAACCCAAATGTCAGCCCATGCACTGATGTGCAGAGACTCTGAAAATCACAGCAAGTCCCGACACCCATGGGTGCCTCTACGTTAGGGCTGAATCTCGTTGGAAAGATTGGTAGCAGAAAAGGTCTCTCCCTGCCTGA